ATATATTATTGTATTGTTTTTACAAAATAATCGATCAATTACTATTACTTTACCAGGTTCTTCGTCGATATCGTAAGCCGTAGGTAAATACAATTTAATACCAATAACCACACGCTTTATTATCATACAACACAATGTTAGAACACTGCTTGTGTTGGATTGACTTTTTTCAGTGAAGATCACAAAATAAGCATTATCACTCCATTCTAGTCGAAACAATGGTTAATATTGAAAGTGAGCGTAAACTAAAACCGACGGTCTATTGACGATAATGTCCACGAATATTATTCTACAACGATCGAATGGACAACGACGTGTAATGTGGCCATTCGATATACGTACATATTATTATTACGTAATACAATAAATTCAGAAAGGAGATCAAAAGTCGAAACGATAGAAAAGTTAGAAAATGAAACGATTCGTTCTTTGTCATCATTCTGTTTGCGACGAATTGAGATCGATTTCGTTTCAGCATTACACTTGACAAATTCAAAGACGGGAAAATACGCTTTCGATATGAATTTATAGCAATGTTTTTCAGTCGGTTACCCGCAGTGCCACAAACGCGGTCATTCCGACGTCGTAAGATACACCTCCCGGAGAAGTCACCACCTGTTGCCAATTTAAGATCAATTTCAAATTGTACGCCAATAGTTCGTGCTTGGTAGACAAATGTATTTATTATTTACAAGGGTACAAGTGAAACGGTTGTAAAAAAAAAAACACCTAATAATAATATGATACATGAAGTTATACGCCGCTCGTTTCGAAAGCACCGGTCGAGCTGGGGATATGTTGTTTAATAATAATGTTAAATCGTATACGCAATCGTACAATATTAATAATCAGATCATGGCGATTCACATATGTTATATATTATGACTTGAACGATATTTCAAAATTCAGAAATCAAAACAAGAATATAGTAAAATAGCTTCGATCGTCGTTAAATAAAATCTTCGGACTAATCTCGATTACAAAATGTCTACTATTATACTAAAAATATTATTTATTATTTAATCAGTAGACATTAAAGTGAATATTACATAATATATCATCTTAAGTATATATAGATAATTATTATGTACGAAATTAATAAAATAATAATTTGAAATGTATGTCATTATTATAATAATAATAATAAATTACACATAAAATATTACTATAACGTAATTAGAAATAACTACCATAGTTCATAATATTATTAACTTTCCACAGTGGCCTTAACATAAATCAATAAATCATCAAAACATACTTTTAGATTATCCGCTTTGCAGTTGCGAGTAGAACGATCGAACAAAGCTAAGTACATAGGTTTTACAATATTGAGTGTAGTTTTTCTTCGTTGGAAAACACTTTTCAAGGCTGTAAAAGTGAATGGACACACTGATTATTAATACCAAACACGTTTGATTTAATAACAGATTTTTTTTTAAAAATATTTTTCGAATTATTTGTCATTAGTTAAATTAAAAGATAATATAAATTATGCCTGGCGACAAGCCAAGCCAGATAAACGTAAGCTCTCAATACCCAATTATTATACTAAACATCCGGCTGAATTTTTTATTTTACTATTTGTTAATTTATTACAATAATATAATGTTATAACTCAAAATGCTCTTATAGAAACATTGTAAACTTTTAAATTAAAAAAATAAATTTTCTTCAAAATTGTACATGAAAAAGTATTATTATTATATTCTATTAAACTATTTTTTAGTATAAAACATAATAGAAATAAGAGAAAAGTACAACACTATAATATTATGTATGCCTAAGTTGTTTCCCATAATTTTCGTAAATATTCAGAAAGTAATAATTATAGGGCTTGGAATTATAAATGATAATTTAAATTACCTTGGACCCATAAATAGGAAACATATTTTCATGTAAAATAGAACGTTTTCGTATTATTATGAGCTTTCTGGTTTTTTCAATATGACCTAACCCAGAAAACAATGATTTACTTATTTTCAGTTGATGTGTGGTTCAGATGTGAGTTAGTAAATAATTGACAGAAGACTCTCTGGTCAGTGTACAATCTTCATTCATACTACTTTTGTCGTTAAATTCGGTATATTTGGAAATAAAAATTTAAAAATAAGATTTGTTTTAAACGTAATTATTTGATATCACGCGATGTTCTGTCTTCTCGTATAATCAAAGGTATAAATCAATATAGCCAACATTTTGAAGACTGGTGAGTAGATTGTATTGAAATTTGAAGTATCTAATGTTACTGATAGCACGCTGTTTGGAGTAATCTACAATTGTCTAATAAATCTTTACACCATCAAGTTAAAACTGTAAATTGTTCTGAATTTTTTTTTTTAGTTGAAACATTTATTTATAAATTTATAATGCTCTTTATTCAGTAAAAATAATAATAAACACATACGGTATCTGAATATCTGAAACATTTGATTCGACGATAAAATCCATTGCAATTAAATAATTTACAATTAGACGATTATTGTGTTTAATATTTTTCTTAAGCTTTCAAATTAAAACAAAATCCCAGTTATAACTACACATACTATATATCATCACTTAGTAATATAGGTGCATAATAGTAATACAATATAATATTGCTATTAGCTAATCGTTTTTTGTGCGTAATTTGGTAAACTGTTAAACACGTACACAACTGCAGGATTGCGTTATCCGATAAAATGTATGCCTCATAATGTTTCCATATTTATACAGTCCTACAAAGATAAGAAAATAAATTGATTAGAATCGTTCTCGTTCAGCCGTCAATCGTACTCACACGTTATATTTATGCAAAATATGTAGGATATAATATAATAATATTATTATTTCAGTGATTTCTGTTTAGTTAACTCGTATAATTATACTTGAAGTAATAATATCGGAGGAATATTTCGACAGATCGTTTATCGGATTTCTCCACAATATTGGAACCCCTACCGGATGTTGCGACGGGTCTCCCCGCCATCGCACGCGTCTGATATGAGGACGACCACCGATGTGGACCATGACCTAGACGTGAACCCTAATCGTCGAGCAGGTCTGGCAAAAATCTCAAAACTTCACTATAAGAACAAATTCAAGCGTTTTTTCGAAAAATTAGTTGAGATATTTGCAAAAAAAAAATAAATTACCTAGTCTCAATAATATTACGAGTTGAGTTTACGGTTGAGTTAAAACTAAAAGTTTGTATTTAAATGTTAAAATTAATTAGTAATAAACTGATAATCAATAGGTACAATTAGGGTTCTAAATTTGAAATTTCACTCTTCTTGAAATATTTTCAATGAAATTTTGAAAAATATTTTCTTCTTTTAAACTTGATCGGTTATAGATGATTAAAAATTATATGTTGATTACACACTTAGAAATAAAGAAAAACATATTATTTTCTTTGATTTATTATTTCATATTTGTATATTCTACATTATGTAGTTATGAAAATAATCCCTGGAATTATTTTGAGAGTAAAAACATTTTTTATATGAGTTTTACAAAATTGTTGTATTCAGACTGTCAGCGATCCAAAAGTTAATGGTTTGAAATAAAGTTGAAGTCAATTTCAACAGTGAATGAAATAATAGTGTATTTTCAGTAATTATAAAGTGTACAAAAGTCGTAAATTTGTGTGTTTTTTTTGCTTACTGACTGATGTGAAGGTGCTCTGGACTCTTTTATTTAATACTATTAGATCATATTTTGTATATTGTAAAAGGTCAAGTCTCACGCCTATAATGGTGGTTTATGTCTATACATAGTGAATATAATAGTATAATATAATATGCATTCGCAGATCCAGGGCTCTCAACAATATGTTATTATGTTGAGTTGGTTTATGAGTTTGTAACTTAAAAGTTAAAAGGCAATGTTTAAATTTGTTATATTACGATTTGATATATTTATACGTAAAAATGCTGCATATTTTCTTTGTTTCATACAATAAACCAACTTTTAAAATATTCACTTGGACGTTGACAATTATAAACTTGTAGATATAATATTATTTTATTTTAATTTTTCACAGAAATAAAATATTTCATGATATATTTCAAGAAAATAAATTCCATGAAATTTTAAAACCCTAGCATACAATAATCATACGATTTTGGTATTACATCACGTAAATTCGTGATTTTGACAATTACTTAGTTTTTTTCACTACCCCCTAACGAAATTCTATTTTGAGATCGGGCTAGAAAAACTAAAAATGTTTACACAAAATAATATAAATTATTAGGTATGTACCAGGTACCTACACCCAAACGTTGCACTCGCCATCATAATATACGAATCACGATCGTCGTGCGAGGACGTTCGCTCCTCAAAGTTTCGGTGACCTATAAAAACGAGTACCTCCAGTGTATGGCAATAATTTTAAAGTAATTCCTATTCCGCGGTCAAATGTTAGATTATATACGATAATATTAGGACGATGGAAGTATATATTATACGCATCGCGCCCGTGTTATATCGACCGTGAAAAACATAATCCTGACCGAGACGTATACCAACCAGCTACGCCGTATAAAATACGCAGAGGTAATGATAATAATAATAATAATAATGCACATTATTGTTACCTATTATTCGGTTCTGGCAATCATGGGTGTTGGTGAGGGGGTTAGGGGAACGTGGCATCATAATATGATGAATCGTTGTAATGTGCGAGCCACCGCATTATAATGATAATAATAATATGTTGTACACATTATTATAATATAGGTAACCTATAGGCGTGCGAATTATTTATTATTATGCCGATCGACTGGTCATATCGTTTCTGCAAAGTTCATCGATGCGCGCAATACCACCTGCTGCAGCAGTCGTGATTATTATAATATATTGCCAATGATTCGCGTACTTACTTGAGCGTATGGAAATAATAATAATATCATAAACGGTAGGTCGTGTATGGCGTTTATATTGTGTTGTATTTAATACGATGTCGTCACTAAAACAATATTATATCGACGATTAATTTGGTTTTCATAACTGTTTTACAGTGAACGGCCAGGTGAAGAGCGCTGGTACGAGATGGGCAAACGCCGACCTGGAAGCGGCAGACGAGGCGTCGGACGTACAGATCTACAAATCCGTTGTGCAGTCAATGGAAGAATGGAAACAGAGGAAGAACTCGTCGAAAAGGTGCTAAACAATTGTACTTTTTTTTTTAAAAATAAGCGCCATAGGTATAGCGTGTATAGTATCACAGAGTGTACGAGTGAATTGTAATAATATTACACGCCATCCGGATCGCCGAAACTCGGTTAAAATAACACTTGTTAGATTTCAAAAATCGAGAAAGTCGTAATTTAATAATAACAATAATAATAGTACGAAGAAGAAAAATATACGGATGAGCTGACGGATTCGTGTACGAAAGCGATGTGCGCGTATCGTACACTCGATAAAACGTGGTCACCTATCTACCCATATTTATTATTATAATACTGCTACAGTTGTTATTATGATATATTATTACGACTCGAACGTTATTGGATACGACAGTTGTAACGGTCGTAATATTTTTACACTGCTCGTATCGGATATTATCACATTGTGCCTATAGGTGTATCTATCTATATACAGGATGATCCATTTAACGCAAGACACTTATTATACAAAAAGTAGATGGTTAAACGATAAAATGTCTTACGTTAAATTGATCACTCTGTATTGTTCCGATTGGTTGAAAGGAAAAACTTTAAGCACTCGATTTAAAGGCGAATTCCGTACCTACTCTGAAATGTAATAGCTTAAAGCAGCTTATAGCTGTAAAACCGTTTATAACAGAGTTGATAACGTTTGGATTAATGTACCATATTCTATAAGCCACTGCAACTAATTTTATAATGCAAACGATTTCGTAAAACTATCAGCCATAAAGTCTCCGAAGTATAAATCCATTTCTATTATAAATAATAATATTGTGTATGAAATGTCGTAATGCAATATTGGATCTTTGTGATAGGTAATATTTTATATATTTCATAAGAACAATGTGGTTTTGCATAAAAATCTTACATCGATGCTTTAGTTTTTTTTCAAGTGCTTCTGGTGTTACTATATAGTTGTAGTGATTAAATCAAAATTATTTATGACGATAATAATATTGTAATGTTAGAATTTCTAACTTAGAAACAAAATTTGTATAGATTCCTTGCGGTCACACGATACCTATGTTTCATATTCACCTCTTTTTAAATTTGACAGGCAAAACAACAATACAACATAATATACCAGATATTAATCTGGTAAGAAGTGCATTAAAGAAGTGTACTTAAAAATTGTTGTGGACTGTGGTGGTAGGTATACTTGCATGTATCGTCATATAGTATACAATTAATCAAGCAAAAACAACATTTGGAATCTTAATTAAATAAAATATATATATATCACGCATTAAATTGCCCACCATTACCTACTTACATCATAATATATAATCAATATAATAATTTGTAACTAGGTATATATAGGTATCATATTAAGATCCATACAGGTATAAGGTATATACGCCCACCGCGGGTCTACCCATTAATTGAAAACGTATTCTGAAGGAGGTTCGACCTCCGAATAATAATAATTCACTGTTGTGGCTGGGAATGCTTCTCTATATAGTGTGTAATAATAATAATACATTGTGCACACACCTGCGTCTCCTTCCCGACGTCTTGATGTCAGAATCACTGCACTCAAAATAATATTGTACCGTTATGCCGCAGTATTAATCCATCATCATCATCATCATATTATTATTATTATAAAGTCTTGACAGTGGAGCACACTCATAAATAAATAGGGGTAGCAAATTGAATCGGTTACCTCCATATTGGCTAAGAGACTGATGGCTATAGCCTATAATTATTCAATAGTTTATTTTCAATATTTTTATACGTAGTAGAATTTTTATGATGTAAATATTTTGGAGCCAGGAGGTCCACCCACCCACCCACCTAACAAAAAAATCAGGGATAACAATTGCTACCCTCAAACCCTCCAGTGTGTACCACTGGGTCGTGAACAGTCATTTTCATATTCCACGAGGGTGTGTTTTTTTGTTTGTTACGAAGAGGCTCTGAACGCAAAGCGATGGTCAAAGAAGCCTTGAATGCACGAGTGCCATATTAATTAGTTTTTCTCAAATTCGTTGTGTTTTTAAAATTTCTTTAAACAAACATCATGAGCATAACTCTTCCAGTTCGTCTTGGCACTTGGTTACAGTTACGATTAATATATATATATATATATATATATTATGTTTCCACAAATATTTGATTTTAGACTCCACTTTTTTTTTCCAAAATAAGATTTTATATAGCTTTGAAAATTTAAAATTTGGTTCTGTAGATTATTGACAATTTTATTTTAAACGTTTATGTGTATCCTAAAAAATCAGGTTTTAGCACTTGAGAATTTTTATTTTGAAAACTAGTGTCAACTAAAAATAAGTTTGGATCACTGCAGTTGTACAAGTTTATAACGGTTGTGAAGTGCAAAATGAACTGGATGGTTGTTTTTGAGAACCATCCAGCACAAATTTCCATATCAAGATATTTTGATATGCAAATCGTTTTTTAATTCAAATCACAGCTAAATATTACAACTTTTTCTTATTTATCATTGATTAACAAAAAAAATAAATATTTTTCTATTTGTAAAATTTTGCATACCAACTTTCTAATACTTCATGTACCTACTTTAACAATCGATTTTGGTAGTGGATGCATCGAATGCTTTCTGTAAAGGAGTACATAATATCATATTTCTATTAATATATTGTAAGTCATTTACTGTCTTGAAGTGCATGTGCATCAAGTACATTATTTACAGCACTGCAAACAATTTTATTTTTTTCTAGTGCAGATATCATCTGTTGCTTTACGTTTGGTGGTTTACGTTTGGCCACGGTGCAGGTTATAAACATTATCGTTGTTGTATCTCACCAGGACCGTGGTTATTAGAGTCGTTTTTCAAATTACCGGCATAGTTTACAATTCACTACTTTATTGCCTGAAATTTCCGGACAGAGTTTGCATCTGCCCGTTTTTGGAATTCCAAAGAAGCATAATATTATGCGTCACACCTCTCATATAACGGTACGCACATCATAAACGGGTTAGGCTAGTCTAAATATTAATATATTATATCGAAGAATAATATTAACAATTCTTGGACGTATAGTTTATATTATATCTTCGCATCCGATTTCGAGGCTTGGTGGAGAACTTCAGTTCGTAGATACATAAAAAAATAAATACAACTCACACATTTGATTCATAAAATGGGTATAACAATCAAAAATATAAAATTTTCATTTATAAAAATCGACGATTTCCTATTGTTTTATGAAGTAAAATTTAATTTATACTGCAAAATTACTCTGGATACATTTCGTTTATTAAAATTATTACTGATCTTTTATACTAAATCTATTATAATTCAAAAATATATTATACACTATTATGATTTACGTGGCAATTTATTTTTGAGCCTGTCCAATATAATACAAATATAATAATAATATTATAGTACAGCGTTGAAACAAATTTAAATATTTATCCAGAAGATGATCGTTAATACTTTTATTCACAAACTCTTGTTGTGTAATAGTATATTATAATTGTATGTATTTAGTGTAGACAATTACTATTATCCTTTGTCGTTTGACACGTCTTTATTGGTAATGAGAACCGGCAAAAGTATACTAATAGATATATGCCTACCTAATGACCAAATAAACCTTCACATAATCGATTTAGCTCAAATTAAATTAAATCTTATAAACTTTCTAAATGTTTTTTTAGCCAAAGTATTTTACAATTAGGTATCTACATGCAATTAATCCAAATAAAATTAACAGTTTATTAGTATGTTATTTTAAATTAATTGTTCCGCGCCATTAATGAAAACGTTACCGCCGTTCCGCGTGCTTTGTTTGCAATATCGTAAAATATAATTGTAGTATAATTAATTTCATCAACGATGCTGAACTCCGTCGTCTAATTTAACAATATAACCTAAGTGAATCAATGAACAAATTTAAATAGATTAACCATAAACGTAAGTTAATATAAATGCAATGTAACTGTAATGTAAATAATGTAATTAAAAGCTAATAACCACGCAGTTTATGCCTTAAAATAAAATAAAATAAAAACAATAGTGGTCAAATAAAAGGAGAAATCAAAATATTATTTCCTACTTGCGATTAAAATAATTATACAATTTTGAGCTCGAGTTTGATTTAAAAATGATACACGTGTATGATACAACTCCTCTTATCCTAAAATCTCCGTCTGTACTTAATAAAGTCAACTGCAATACCGACTCACAAAAATATCTTATCAGTATTCAAGGACGATCCGTCTAATCACTGAATTACAATTTATATTAAATCCAAATTCAATGTGAAAATTGTTTCCGTATGTAGTACGTACCGTATACATATAATATTATACTGAATATTATGCATTATTATTTAGTACAGTGTCTCGATTTGAATACTACATTACTAATACTTATAGTCAATCACAGCATAACAGGGATTAATAGTTTTCGTTTTAATTTTGATCGATTTATTTTCGTTTACAGGCAAAAAAGAGCAGATACGAATGCCTGCTATCCGGAAGTGGGTTGCTTCGACACTTCCGGCCCTTACGGTTACATCGGAATGGTACCAAACCGTCCCGACGAGGTAATAAACTGCACCGCGCCTATACAATATACATGGTGTTGCACGATAAATGTGTCAAACTTCTAGTGGTGTTTCTACACCTCGAATGGAACAAAAAAAGTCCTTGTGACCATAGTCGAATTATCAATAATAAGGGTGATAATTTCCATGTTTGTGTTTTTTTGTTAAACATAAGTTTGATTCATAATAATGTTCATATCTGCTAAACCGTAGGTTCTACAATTAATTTGAATACATTGATGAAAATCTCATAAATTGGGATTAGGAAAACATATCTTACAAGGGTCCCACCTGATTTTTTGGGTAAAAAGAATAACACACATTTTTTATAACTTTAAAATGTCGAAATTTTGAAAAATTACAGTTTTACCTACGACAATTTTTTTTTTTTAAAACAGGTGGGTGCAAATTTAAAAAAAACTTCAACATTTTATAAGCTTTTCAACGGTGTACTCGATTTTTTCGTTAAACCTTTCTGAAGGGCCGATATTCCTCTAATGTGTGGAAAAACCGTGAAAAACGTAAACAAATTCTAAGCAATAAATACAAAACGTGGTAAACTGATTTTTTTTAGGTTTCGACATTTTAAAGTTATAAAAAATGTGTGTTATTATTTTTACCCAAAAATCAGGTGAGAACCTTGTAAGATATGTTTTCCTAATCCCAATTTCATGAGCTTTTCATCAATGTAATTAATTTTAGTACCTACGGTTTAGCAGATATGAACATTATTATGAATCAAACCAAAAAACACAAACATGGAAATTATCACCCTTGTTATTGATAATTCGATTATGGTCACAAGGACTTTTTTTATTCCATTTGAGGTGTAGAAACACCTCCGGAAGTTTGACACATTTATCGTGCAACACCCTGTATTATGTCGGAACGTCACTCGGAAACATTTTTATAACATTATCGTTACGTGTCTTGCAGGTGAACACGAGATTTTTGTTGTACAGTTCGAGGAGGAGTCGACGGGACACACCACTGTTGGACGTGGCGTTCACAAACATGACGTCCATCTGGCACTGGGCCGGAAAAGCTTTCAACGTGTCCGCACCCACCAAAGTCATAGTCCACGGATTCGGTAGCTCCTGTTCAAACGTGTGGGTGTATGAAATGAGATCAGCTCTCATGGACGTGGTGAGTACAACCCTGCAGCACTGCACGACGGTATAGTTGTCGATAACTATTTCGTCGGATCCTATTATTATTATTATTATTCATCACGATGATCAATATTCATCGACTCGTCAAGACGTTTGCTCTTCTCTCAAGTTTTTCGTGTCGCGATAGACCTGAAATTAGAAATTTCGTATAGGAATGTTTATTTTAAACGAATCGTCTCTCGCGTGTCCATACAATCAGCGAAACAGTTTGAAGTACACATCACGAGTGAGTGTATTGATATATTATATAGATAGTATAATATGTGCAGTTGTATTCGGCTTAGATATTTTTATAACGGAAAATTACTTTTCCTTTACGTACACACACACACACACTAGGAGATACACCTACGTGTTATATTATGGATTGTTCAGTTGTTTTATTCATATTTTTTTTTTATCTTCTGTTTTCTTAACGGTTATAATAGTACCTACTTGCCCATTGACGGAATGAAATAGCGTGAAAGGAAACGATAGTTCAATTCGATGTATTATTGAGACTTTTATTAATGCAGTTATAGGTATTATAATAACATTATTCCTTTTACGAAAACGAACCAGGATATTGTAACTTGATTTTATATACAGATTAATAATAATATATAGAATTATAGAAACTCGATTTATTGAACGAAATTAAATGACATTTAATTTCAAAAACCATTGATTGACTTATTCGGAATACAAACGGAATGTATATACACTTTTAATAATCCGTGCCTTTAAAGAATTATTTATTATTATTTAACAGTATAAAATATGCACTGTTTGAACGACCTAAAAATCGTCTGAGTTCTTCAAAAATATGAATTCGTTCACGTTCTATTTGATGTATTAATAGTGAGTGTTGTTCGCAAAATCTAAACGTGAACGAGTTTTTTCCAAACACTGCACACGCTTATAAAATATGTATAATGTGATATAATTTAATAATATTATATATACTAGGTAGGTGCACATGCAAATCCACACACGACATTAGGTGAATTTGTGTCAGTAAAATAATAAATAATAGTGCGGCGATGAATAATGATTTACAAATAAATCACAGTGATCGTCCAGTGAATCATCATTACGATCATAGTGTATATAAGTTCTCATCGTCGCGCCGGTTTTAGCACCATTCCTGCCTGTTAGGTTATGTATATATGTAGTATATAATATTATTATACGAAGACTTGTCTACGCCGAATACTAGGTATATGGTTACTTTCACGAGAGGTTTTCTCAGCCCATTAGGTGAATCTTGGACACGCGATGTGCCAGTATAATATTATTATCACGACAGTCTGCAGTCGTGGCTGAGCGACACGAAAATAATATAATCCAAGCTGCTAATCGAACAAGCGCTGCACGTTTCCTAAAAAAAAATTGTATGTGTGCCAAACGAAAACGGCCGCGATGGATCATCGTCGGTCAATCGAATATTATCGTGAAATTTATTGGCGTTGAGCAGTTGAGATCAGTTTCTGATTTTTTCATCGCTTCATTTGTTTTTCAATCACCCACAATGGTAAAGACTTCAAAAATGGTTACTTTCTGAAAATATAATTAATATTACTAGCGGACGTCGCATCCACATAAGTCGTGTCCGTCTTACAACCGTTTGACACATCAAAATGTCGTTTATCAGTTTTAATAGTGTGCTGTTAGTTGTGATATTAGAGTGAATTGACTTTGTCAAACTTTTAGGTAAGAACATTATTCGTGTTCTCTTTTTGGTTTTTTACGATATTTTAATTTTGAAGTGAGTTATTACTAATAATTATTATTACGTAAAATATTAATATTTGAAAATGCACATAATTCCCTTATAGCTATAGCTACCTACCTAACGAACCATTAAAATACATATCAATAAGGTGTGGCATAGGTACCTAAACAAATTGTGTTATAGAATGTCAATCGTTATATTATGCAAAAAAATAAATACATTTTACTATAGTCATCAAAGTTATTATAGTAACTGTGTAGTGTGTACTTGGGTAACATATTATTTTGTTTAATAATGAGGTATTTTATTTAGAAATATTATTTTTGCAGTTTTTGTTGGTATTTATAAATACTTTGTTTCAAGTTTTTAAAACGTTTTCAATGCCATCGAAAATCTGCTCCACGCCAGCGGGTTTGGGTGGTTCTATGATTTATTCATATTTTATAAAATAAATAGGTGTATTATATTATTATAATAACTCTCCGCTCTCGTAATAATAATATATAAGTACCTATTATTAAGCATATACATAATATAATACATATTATATTAATATAATCGTATACCAACACGTTAGGTATTATTTCAGCACCAGCTTGTATTTTAATTTTTTCTATTAAACCACATTAATGATAGGTATTGATGATGATGGATCAAAGTCTTTGTATACAACTAAAGTTTAAAACACTCAAACACTTGCATTGCATGAAGTATAAAATTGAGATTCCAATATAATATTATACCGAGCAGATTCAAAATATTTTAACTAAAATAAAAAATTCGACAATAGGATTGGAAAAATTCAGCTATGGATAAAATAAGAAAAGCCGTTTAAAAATCATTCAAGTAAAAAACTAGTCATAGTAGAGTTCGACGAAATATCAGTACTTACCTACGTTTAGAGTACAGTTCGTAAATAATTGTTTTTCGCTATAACCTAACCATTAGTCATTGCGTTGACTATTTTTTAATTTATTACAATTTTCTAACGACGTAATTTATGTAGATTTATGTAATAAAATATCATTATATACGTATTGAAAAATAAGAAATAATATACTTCACGGAAATAGCAAAAATAAAATAAGTAATAACAGTACGATAACGGACATTGGTGAAATGCTTTACGGACTCTGAATTAATGAGGTTGGTGACTAACCATCGAATACCTATGCACAATAACGTCGTTCGCCGTTCGATATACCGTGCAAATAGTAATAAAAATAATAACAATAATTACGACGCTCAATGGTCCGTTCACTGGTAAAAGAAAAAAAAAACCGTTTGAAATGATACCTATTATACTATCACTACAGTAATAATTATTATTATCATCATCGTCGTCTCCGTCGCGGTCCGAGCACGTGGGCTACCATTACTGCAGTGCCTGCGACAATGTTAATAATTATTATGATCAATATTTAGTTATTATAACACTGACCCAGTCGTCGAAAACGGACGTGGAGTATCGGTGTCGTCGGTCTTGATCGTGTTCGTATATCGGTATAATCCGTAGAGACGAAAAACATAATATTCAAGTATAAAAAAAAAACATTATTATTATTATATTACGACGAATGCGGTTTTTCGTGTTCGGTGACGTGCCAATTAAGAGCTCGCGCCGACGACCCCGTGACACTGTAATGATAATGATAATGATAATAATATTATGTTCCTTCGGTGCAGTCGGTGCAGTCGTTGACCCAGTGGCGGCTGTACACCAAAAGAAGCTACTTCCGCGTGTTTCCGATACGCCGCCGGTCGAGTCACGATATTATATTTTTATGATCGGAAAACGGATGACATAAATAATTGATATTATGAACGCGTGTGCGAGCTCATAAACCGGTAGATATCTATAGGTAATCTTATGTGTGACCGTCGAAGTCTTACAAATTTTTATTATGATTATGCCGGCTGAAAATCGTTGAAACCAACGTCAAATAAAATATATAAGTACAAGACTAATATTATACGCGACGGACACACTGTATAACGAGAAGGCAGTAAAATATATTTTATCGTTTACTGAATTCTAGATCTATATTTTGTTTTGAACCTACGATGCACGGAATGGAACTATTATAATAGTTAGGTATTTTTTCCTTTTTATTACTTTTTACAGAAACAGTTATTATTAAAAATACACTAATACAATATTATACTTTCATTAAATTGGCCCGAATGTATTCAACCAGCACAACATTTCACCGATCCGACTAGGATCATTCACCCACCGGCCACCACCCTCATAGTAATATATTTTGAACTGCAATTTTTTCATGGAGACTACAACGCCGAAAATGTTGCGACGACATTGTATTATGCTCACTCTATATACCAACCAAATGTGAAAAACAATTTTATTTTACTCAAAATGGTCCATCGAAGAGTATTTCATTTTATGGCCATCTGTATGTATTGTATTATGTATATATTGTTTAGTTTTATAGATATAATCCCAGATATCACTAAGAACTACTAAAGAAGTTTCACTTCATCCTCGCGTGCTTGTTTATACCATAAAATATACCTACTTCATCTAACCTAACCTCTATACCTACTCACCACCATTTTCCATGGACAAGATTCGTAAATCTAAAATGTTAAAATCATTGTTTCAATCATTTTTAGAGTTGGTTATAGGAAGATTTATGAGGGGGCTACGATTCTACATTATTATAAGATCTACCTACACACCAATGCACCTATACACCTAAACCTATATAAGATTTTCGTCAATGACTTCTGACCATCCCGTCATGTCTTTGCCGCAGGTCGACTGTAACGTTATCTGCGTGGACTGGGAGGCCGGGGCCATCATACCCAACTACGTGCGAGCCGCGGCCAACACCCGGCTGGTCGGCAAACAGGTAGCCATGCTGATCTCCGGCCTGGCGACTAAGGCGAACCTCCCCATAGAGAACGTGCACTTGATCGGCTTCAGCCTTGGAGCGCACGCGGCCGGTTACGCCGGTGCCGAGCTGAAGAACCTGAGCAGGATCACGGGCCTGGACCCGGCAGGACCGCTGTTCGAGAACCAGGACCCCAAGACCCGGTTGGACTCGACGGACGCCAAGTTCGTGGACGTGATCCACTCCAACGGAGAGAACCTCATACTGGGAGGCCTGGGCGCTTGGCAGCCCATGGGCCACGTGGACTACTACCCGAACGGCGGCCGAATGCAGAAGGGCTGCTCCAACCTGTTCGTGGGTGCGGTCACCGACATCATTTGGTGTGAGTATACTTAAACATCATTTTTGTAAAGCCATTTTCGCAGTTTATCCGTCCCCGGTACGAATGCATCCTCAAGTGTGTTATTAGTGACTATAAAGCGTCTTATGATGTAAGACATTAGAGTAAAATCAATTTTATTATTATTTATTTATAATCTTAAGCCCGTTGACTGGCCATAAGCTGTTGTAGGGGTTATGAACTGCAGTTGGTAAGGTTGGTATGGTAAGGTGTTGTTACGGTATTTACGGTAGATAATCAAACACATGTATGTGTGGCAAGGCTTTTACTACTACGAACCCGAGTGGTCACCCATCCGGAAACTAGTAGTAGCGGGCGTTACTTACTCTCAGTCATATTGCGCGTCTGGTAGCAGCCAACGTGCCGCACATAGCCACTATTATTATTATTATTATTATTATTAGGTACCTACAATATACTATTGTCAAATCGAAAGAAGAGATCCCTACCTACTTTCCTACCTAAATGGTGGTTCTCAACATTTTTATCACCACGACACTGACTTAAATCCAATTAAAAGGCAACACACATAAATCATCACGACAAAGATTGTTATAAATTTATAAATAACACTAAAATTCAAATAATTTATCTTACAATTTTTTGGGTGACGCACATCACACGACCGGTATAAACCACATAAATCAATATTACCTCTTTGAATACTATCATGAGCAAGTCGTTTTCTATAATTTATATTTTAAATTAAAGCTAAAGTGATAATAATTTTAGCTACTCTTAAAATTGAAATTTGCTTATAGATGTAGTTATAACTTTTCAGCCCTTTCATGTTTATTTAACTTAGATAAATTTAAACATGAGAAAATTGTTGGCGTATTCTTAGGTGCTATAACACTTGATAATAAGTGATTTTTCTTTAATTTTAGTCTAAATTTCATTGCGATGACGAATGATTGTATTTATGAGTATTGAGTAACAATGTTTTTCTCGACTCTTATTCTTCTCAGATAGACAAACAACGACACACCCTTATAAATATATACATCACCATCATTCTAAAAATAAATAATAATATCCTATAATGTCCAAATCAAACACATCGCACCTTTTTTTAAGATTCGTTTTATTTTTTTGTAGATAGTATGTGAAAAACGATTGTTTTTATTGTTATTATTACAATGTATGGACGTGAGCTTTTATTGTACATTACGATTACACACAGTTTGTGTTACAAAAACATAACGCTCTTATACAATATATATATATTATATATGCACATGTACTTTGTAGGTAATTTATTATTAAATTTTGGAAAAATGTTTGTTATTACTACAGTGTGCTATAAATCTTTGAATTTATCTAGATACAGATAACTTGCATTAGTATGAGTAGTATGACACATATTCTCACTTAATTTTGTTCACGACATGGGTTAATAATAATAATACGTCTTGTGATAACCACATTCACAGGGTTATATTTCAATTTAATTCAGTGCATAAATCAAAACTGCAGTAGTAATTCATATTATATATATATGTTTATACTTGAACGGGTTGCATTCCAGAAAACGGAAAACCTTAAAAAACAATTTAAAGAAAAAACACTCTCGCGATTATATACTTTGGCCCTTTACCTATTGGGGTTGACTGGTAACCGGTTCACCTTATAATATAATATAGGTAAAACGACCTTTTATAATTTATTATACCATAACGTAATAAATGTACACCGCTCGCGATTAACTGCAGATGCAGCTGCATAGGTTATTTCTACCCCTGTGAGAAAGTATATGTGCATCGACCACCACTAAATATTATTAGGACGGACTTAAAATCGGTCGATTCACTTGTTTTCGTCAAGTAAGCAAAAACACGTATAATATGTTACGCTATATAGTGTAGGTTAAACTGGTATATCGACGAGACTAACTCGATAATAAATGTTATTATAACGCGCAATTGGTTTTTTTTTCTTAACGTCATTATTATTAATCTGCCATTTGTAAAAAAAAAAAAATTACACGTAATAAAAAACTCCACGAGCGTATTATACACAGACATTCTATACGTATATAATATTATATTATTATAATGATATCGTAAACGTTCCCTACTGCAGCCGAGAATTCGTAAAAAATAATTTTATCCTCAACATTAAACCCACTGACCCGTATAATATAATATGGAATACGTTGGGTATATATAGTAGTAAGTTTTCTATACTAGCCGGTCGGCTGAAACCTCGTTTTACGCGTTTTTTATGTATACTTAATGTGTTTTACTTGACGGGTTATTATAATAATTCTTAACGTACCTATCCACACGCAATTGAATGGATGCAGAGGCTTAGGGTTTCCGCGTTTACCGTTATATTATTATTATTATATTTTGTTTACGCGTGTTTTTAAATCCTCTCAATTTTCGTAAATGTTATAAACACTGTACCTACCTACCTATCTTTCTGGTCACTGAACAATATCATAGCGTTCCGGCTCCATATTATTATCGTATGTATAGGTACCACCCACCTGCACCTGTGAAAGTATGTTTTTTTTTTTTTTTTTGTCGAATTCGAAAACCGATTGTATGCAAATATTCGATGGGAGTTGTGTTTTGTAAACACGGTTACGAGTTTACGACCGTTATATTGCCTGCTCGTCCCAAATATTAATATAACTCTTACGATTTGACACAGTAGAAGACGCAGCAGTGTATTATATTCATCGACGTCTGCATTCGGCCACGACACGCGTATATAGTGGGATCGTCACGAACCTGTAAAACGATCATAATGCTCATTACGATATTACCTATATTATAATAATTATACTGTCGTGGAATTATCCACAGCCTATGCAATATTACGTTGAACTCATTTGGCGGTATTATATTATTGTAATGTTATACAGACGAAATTTCATCATTAAACCCAAAAAAATATGCAGTAATACCTATAATATATAACCTGCAGACTGTGCAACTACGTTTATTTGACGAAATCTCTCTGCGACTGATGTGTTTAACGACCACCACGACTGTACTATGATATTGCTCGGATTCGTTAAATACACCCATAACGAAACGAACCATAGATGCATGGGTGCGTTCCGAGCCTAAGTATATGCAGCCAACGAACTCTTTCGTTTTTTTAATAATATTATTATCGTATCTGATTTCGATTATTATTATTACTCCAAGTTGTGCGGCCAACTGTCACAACTAATAATAATAATATAAAGACATGACCCTTGCCCAACAGTTGCGTGTCTACCGACCACCAAATCTATACATACCTAGTCAATTGCACGTGCCTATTATAATAATAATATACATTTCAGGCCATTGGCGCAATAGTTTTTAGCAAAGCTTCAGAAACGATCAGATTTAACACCGGCCCGAAATCACAAGCCACACAACTGCCTCTAGTTTAGTCGACTACTGATTCAATAACAATAAATTACACCTATTATCTTGTAAAAATAACGCGGCATCGATTAAAAATAGTAGATATTTTATAGTAATGCGAACAGTCACGAGTCCCAAAATATTAAGTGGTATAGTAATAATAATATAGGTAATATGGATAATGGTACATAGAGCACTCGTTTGCATATTATAATTACGTAAATATTTGGTTACAGATGTTTTCTCGATATATTGCATATGAATTATTATAATATAACATTCGTAGTATTACATAACAATAAAATAATAATTATGTAGGCACCTGACCTAACCTGTGCTAAGCTTTATGCACAAAAAACTGTACCTAACCTAGCATTGCGAGTTTTTAAATTCTTAAAAATAATATGTTTTCAGTTTTGTCAGAATAGATATTTTTGTATACCGTTGTGATAGTTAATATTATAATTTAGGTAGTAGGGGCAAATTTACAATTTGGAACACCCGCTTAATTGCCACTGAAGTTGTGCAGGACCAACCACTATCAGGTCTTTAAGTATTTAAATTTTAAAGCCATCGGCACTGATTTCTAAAGTTAAAATTGTCGGTTCAAGTGACCAATAATTAAATACTTCAAACTCATAGTGATGGAGTGTAATAAATATTACACACATTATATTATGTATCCAATGGTAAAAATTAAATTATTATTTTACGTGTACTTTTGCATATTATAATATTTAAGCTATTATAGTTTTTTTTTTTTATTAAAATTAATCTCGTAGTTTAGGTTAGGTTTTAAGTGCAATGCATACCATACCATACACATACCCCACCTAACCCTATTAAAAAAAAAAAAAATTGTAATATAATGTCTTAATCAGAAATAGCGTAAATAGCGTGGCCTAACAAAAATATATTTTTCAATTACGTAATTTCTTGTATACTAGTAATTTGATATTTTCAATAATATGACTGATTTTATTATAAAAATATGGTTTATTTTCATAGGATAAACTTTGGTGAAACTTATATTAAGTATGAGATTTTATGTATGATAATACACTTCCAAAAAAATGCACCACATTATGATGTGAAAAAAAAAATATTTTATATAGCGTAAAACACTCATTATCTCAAAAAGTATTAATGTTTTTGAAAATATTTTTTTACATAGTTTCAAGTTGTTAAAAAATAACGTTTTTATTATAATTATATTTTTAAATATTTTTTATCCTTACAATTTTTTGAGTTTCTTACTTTTTTGAATTACAGCATATAGTTTAAATTTCATATTCCAAAGAAGAATATTTTCCTAAGTACTTTGATTCATAAGAATCGAATTCAGGACGAGTAGTTTGTGAGTTATAAATATTTAAAGTTTAGATAAGTGGAGTAGTGGACAAACAATTATTTGCGGGGTAACTCCATACAACTTCACTCCGCCCATCTAAATTTTAAATACTTACAACTCGTAAACTACTCGTCCTGAATTCGATTTTTATGATTCAAAGTACTCAGGAAAATATTCTGTTTTGGAATATGAAATTAAAACTATATGTTGTCATTCAAAAATTTAAAAAACTTAAAAACAATATAAGGATAAAAAATATTTAAAAATTTGATTTTTTAATAAAAACGTCGTTTTTTAATAGCTCGAAATTAAATATGTAAAAAAATATTTTCAAAAACATTGTTACTTTTTGAGGTAATGAGTGTTTTACACTTAATGAATCACCTTGTATGGTAAAAAGACACATTGTTGAATCTAACCTGGACAATGCCTAAAAAGATAATATATAATAACTATTGTTATAATAAACCTACGCTTGTATAGATTTTGTGTACGATTTTTACACTGAGCAGGTTGCAATAGGGCGCACGTCAAATGTTATAAAATCATTATCAACAATATTTCTCAACATCGCCTGCCAGTCTTACCAACAATGCCCAATGAATTTCATCATCGCCACCTGTATACATAACGATAATATTGTAATCAGGGCTTCAAAACGTTTTTATAACGTTATGAGCGTATAACAATTCAAAAAACGATTGAGATCGATAACGGATAACATATCGGTAAACGATAAACGATTGAAATGGTTAACGGATAAAATATCGGTAAACGATGAACGATTGAAAACGGGTAACGGATAACGAAACAGAAACGATAAACTATTGAAACATATCGAGCCCTATTAGGTAAAAGGGCGTAAGCGACAATTTTGGCGAAAATGAGATATTGGTATCAAAATTTTTCTAAAATTCTGACGGATCGATCTGTAAAATTGGCGAATATAAACCTAAGCATGTCATTTTGCCATTTAAAGATTTTGTGAAAGCGACATGTCGTTTAAATAACCTCAAAATTGATCGCAAGTCAAAAAAACGTAAGCGACTTTGTTGCATGGAGTAGTGTAAGCGCCATGCACTAATCAACAAGACAAAATGTTTGTTGTAAGCGCTGAAAGTGAAAAGTGTAAGCTATATCATTGAGCTATATTCTAAAATTTATTTTATTGTAAGCGACATAAGTTACACAATATTAAAAACATCATTTTTAATCTGTAATTGTATTTTTAAAATAATTTTTTTATAACTACACATCTGATTTTCATGAAAATCCATCAGATATTCGATTTTAAAAGTGTTTTTTTTGGTTCCTGTAAAAAAATGAAAATGTCGCTTACGCCCTTTTACCTAATAGGGCTCGATATAATTGCCTGAAAAAAATAAATATTTATAAAATTATAACTATTTAATGGTTATTTTTGTAATACCATTATATTTATAAATCTCTATGTTTTGTGTAGGAAACAAGCTAATATTTAAATTTGTAAAACGCTTAAGTTGAATAACGTTTAAATACTTTATAACGTTAAACAGTCATTCGATCATAACGTTTTATATCTATATACAACCGTAAACGGTATTATTATTTAAGGGGATTGGAAGCGGCGATTTTCTGTCTTTGTCTAACACACGTGCAACATAGGATTATAGACGTGTTCTATTTCCAACGTACCCATTAATCTAGAGAAGCTATAAGAATTCTGTAAACAGATTTGAATTTGTCGTCAAGTCTACTTGAGATCGACTTCCCCACATTTTTGATATTATCCTCCAAAAATCATAAAAATTATATATTAAAAAGAGTAATTAAAAAATTGCCATATTTCAATTTTCGGAGAAGTTTTAATCAAAATATCAAAAATGTGGGAAAGTCGATCTCAAGTAGACTTGACGACAAATTCAAATCTGTTTTCAGAATTCTTATCGCTTCACTAGATTAATGGGTACGTTGGAAATAGAACACGTCTATAATCCTATGTTGCACGTGTGTTAGACAAAGACAGAAAATCGCCGATTCCAATCCCCTTAAGCCCTGATTATGATGTCTCGTTGTTTCGACCGCGTTTATGGTAATATATTATAATAAGACATGCGTTGGATTTCAGCTGCTCCCGAAGTGTACGGCAGGAGCCTGTGCAATCACCGGAGGGCTTACAAGTTCTTCACGGACAGCGTGTCGCCGAGCTGCGCTTTCCCGGCCGTGCCATGCGAGTCGTACGAGAAGTTTCTGGAAGGCGAGTGCTTCCCGTGCAAGGACAAGTCCAAGTGCGGCAACATGGGATACCACTCCGACAAGTCTCCGGGCCGCGGCAAAATGTACCTGCTGACGAGGGACGAGGAACCATTTTGTGGTAAATATCATAGCGAAATAGCTGTAGACGATTTACGATATTATGTATACCTAAGTATGTATTATGAATTTCGAGAGACTTGTGCACAAGTCGGTGTGTGAATTGACTGCGCCTGAGATATGTCAGTGGTCGTACTTAACAGATTGGCAAAGTTCATAGGGCATTCATTATAGTCAAACAGTTAGCTGTCTTTTTTTAAATTTTTAAAGTAACCAGTTCGTTGGTTTTCTGATTCACTTAATAACTTAACTAGTTTAATTGACTGTAACTTTGATTTTTTTCAGTTGATTTCAAAACAATACCAGCATCGAGTTAATATAAAAAAATGTTTCTGAAATGTTTGCTTTTATTGATTTTATACGCATTAATTTTAAATACGGTATTCAATAAAAATAATCCAACACTATAATAGGTAATAATAATACTATAATATTTCTGTTTTGTTTTCTGATAAAATAGTAGGTGGTATACCTATAGATAGGCTCCTCAAAATAGTAAATACCCTTTAGAGATCCACATTCCACTTAGACACTAATAAAAAAGTGGGTTAACTTTTTTTAAAACCTAGTTGAGTTGATATTTTTTCAATATTAATAACATCCAGATAAATGTATATAATATAATATGTTAACTATTAACTTCTAACTTAGCGATCTTATGTTCTAAGTGAATTTAATTTTCGCGTTAATCAATTGTTGTGATACGCGACGTGCCATTGATTATTTTAATATTATCACAATAATATTTGATTGAGATATCGATAGGTATATGGTAATATTCTATGGTGCAGTTTATTATCGTATACCGGTTAAATATTATTAAGATCGATACAATAAACATAGGTAGTATATGACCAATGAAGTCGTGTCTCGACGTGATACGGTCTGAGCTAGAAATCACTACATCAGTAATATATACATTATTATAGTCTGCAGACAATCGACGACACTGTGTGTTGTGTGTTATATAATTGTAATAATTTTATTATAATGTCAAACACCTACACTTGACGAGTACTCGTTAAACGGGTCTCCCGGCCACAACGAAAAAGACGAGAAGTATAGTGTAGTATGAAGATAAGAGATTATAGAACCGTAATATACATAATAGAATACTGTTATTTTCATCAGATTATTATTTTAAGAGTCAACATTTTTATGTGAAAAAAAATTATGTCATAATATTACGTTAAAAAGTGTTTGTTTTTAGTCCATACTCCATAGTCTCTATAATATGTGTTATTATGTATTTGGATATAATACGCATAGAATGGAAAACGTAAATAATTGGAAGTATTTTATTCGCGGATTTCAAGACTGTTTCAGAACCAACCGTTTTTTAATTTTGATATTGTGTTTGTTTAATTATTATTATTTCGATTTAATGATGACATGTACTACTCAAGTACACATAACCAGTTCGGTTTCGGTACAAAATTTAGAAGGTCTTATGATTCTATGCTTGCATGCGAAACGATCGTCCTCGTTTAATTACTGACTCAAAATTCGTATAATGTATTAAATCCTCGGAATCCTGTGCAAGATTATGTAGTTTTTTTATTATAATTATAATATCGTACAGGCACAGTTCAAAATAAAAACCGTCAAAATCGATCGATATTGAAAATAACTTGTTTGGTAATGTAAACTAAATTAATTATCTTCATCGCGAAAAAAAAACTACAACTTGCCGACTTCACAATGTAACATATATTTATTTTTTTTTTTTACATAGTTTATAGGAAGTGATATAATATAATATTCGTGTATTAGGTTCCTACTATTTAATACTAAAAATGTATAATTTAACATATTATATAGTTACTATAATATGTTGATTCATAATATCAGGCCATAATTCTACACTGAAGTAAACGTCTTATAAACTTTTGTGATTTAATCAAGGTAAATTATTTTGATTAGTTTAATTTATTACAATTCGTGTCGGTTATACGAAAAATGCTGAAACAATGAATAATACAGTTACATACAACCATACATATTATTAAATGCTAGTCCCCGAAAGGTTTATTTGAAATGCGACCTGAGCTACACGATCCCATCTCGGTCTACTAAGTTTATGCGAGACTATAAGGTCACTATTTCGAGTCCAGATAACATTATTATAATTTACAATACATCGACTTTTTAAAGACTATGATATTGCAACTTTGACTTTGAATCTTTTGATTTTTTAAGAACGCTGACGTACTACAAGTCTACGAATACTCTATAATAAACTATTATCATTGTAATTTATTGTTAACGTTATTCAAAATATTTATTTTATTTTATTTCCTCGCAATTATTATAGCGCACCAATACATAGTCAAAATCCACAACTCTCCTAGTGCGTTGCCTGTGGTCAGCTACGGCAAAATACAAGTCGTTCTGTTCGGTCAACTCGATATAAACGAAACGTTTACCATCACGAAGTAAGTATACTAACGTTCGATAAATAAATATTGCATATATTATACCTAAAATAACGTAAATACGTTTCCTTCTCCACGCGTAGGTAATAATAATAATTAATAAATAAGTCAAGTCGGAACGGAACGGGACCGACGGCGTGTTTGGTTTTGAGATTTGACGTAGGTATACTTTCCATTTTCTCAAGTCACAACCATTATATCAGTGTGAAAATCCGCAATAGGGAATGTTATATACCCCTACCCCGCTCTTGACCTGTTTACCAGTAACCGTTTTAGAGTACCTACCTATTTAAAAAAAAAAAATGTTACACATAAGTTTAATATTTTCCCACCTTGGATGATAGTTGATAACATTTTCGTATTGTCGTATAGCAAAGACGACGCGGCGCTTTCTGTGGGCGAGACGATGAAAAAGATCATCGTGCCACATCCCGCTCTGCAGGGCTTCAACAGGGTTCAGATCACGTACACAGCTTACAAAGGATGGCTGTCGAATGGACTGTCCAAGTGGAGTATCGATAAGTTCATACTGACCGACAGTTACGGCAATAGGTAATGATAAACGAAAACTTAATAATAATATCCGTCTATATAGAATATAGTGATATTTATATGATAAAACACCAAGTGTCGTAAATAATAGTTATGGAAAAATAACTAAAAAAAAAAAGTGTTTTAAAAGCAGTCTACGACGTATACCTAAGTCAATTATTTCAAGGATGACGGACTTGACCACTTTTTAGTTTTTAACCCTATTAGACATTTTATAAAATCGATATCTGATTTAATTTGTTTATCAAATGTATTGCAAATAATATAATATACCTACTATTTACCGTGATTTTAATGCTGTTTTAAATCATATTATGCAGCCAATCCGTTTGCCAGAGGGGCCTGGTCATGCAGTCAGAGGTGTCCGTCGTGTTGCCTCTATACCCGGGCGATTGCAACCTGCCTGAACTTATGCTGCAGATCAACGTAAGGAAACGATGACAATTATTACTATAATTTTATTATGGAGTATTATCTTAAGACTTTTTGACAAATCATTGTCATTTGTCTCCCAACACCGTCATTGTTGTAGACATTGACGATTAGCAATAAGGGCCCTACGATTCCGAACCGATAATGTTAAATTAATAATAATATTAATTGATACAGCTACGCAATAGTATTGGCCGCGATGTAATATCGTTTCCTGTACTAACAGCTGTAGGGTTCGGACGTGTATTTTTTTTTGAAACTATACCGAAACAAGTTTAAGATATGTACATTGAACATGTCCTTAAAGATTAATAATTACGAGCGGTAACATTTATTTCAAATTTAAATGTACATTAATTTATTCTAAATGGTCGGACGTTTTATTTGGAAATGAGACATTAGAATAATATATTGTCATATTCAATAACCTACAGATAATAACGTCTTATTCGTTTTCAAGTGTTTAAAATTTAAAATGCAAGCAGCAAAGAAAAATAGAACAAAAAAAGGTCCAATAAAAATAAGACAAATTATATTGTCGTTCGTTCGTTAAATACCTACCTATCCGCGATCGAATTTTTCAAAAATTTCATATTATTATATGCACTTTTCATAACATTAAACTATTACGGAAATATATAGATTAACACTGTTTACAATTATTGCACTTGTTCACAGCAACGCAGTAACTGTCACAGTGTGGTTTGCACATTTATTGAAAAATTCCGATAAAACATCATATTAAATTAAAAGGGTTTAACTGGTCTAAGTAGTAGCCTATAGCGTGCTATGTGTAATAGAGCAGTATTTTCGTACACTCGCTGTAGAGTTCCGTCTGATCGTAAATTTTAGTCTTTTTTTAAGCACATACATACCTACCATACATACCATCGATTGACATCATCATAAAAATTCTCTGCAGGGCGGCGACATCAGCGACAAGACTGACCTGCAGATGCACAGCGGTCCACCGGAAGAGTACGGTCAGCAGCACATCAACGACACTTCCGGCACGCACATCTCGGGCGCCGGCGGTGACGTGGACCTGACTGCTCCCGGTGATCTGGCCGCCGCCGCCGCCGGATCGGCCGGACTGAGTGCTACGCTGGGCGTTGGCATCAAGGAGTACATGAACGTGCCGTGGATGCCGCTTGTGGACATCGAGGCGGGCCCGGCCGGCAACAGCCTGGACCCTTCGTCGGACAGGCGCGAACAGTCGGGCCGCGGGTTCTCGGCCAACGGGGCCGGTCGGACGGGCAACAGGACGGTCACCGGCGTCGTGCCGGCTGTCCGTCCCACCGCAGAGTCGGACGATCAGTTCCCGTACGACGAGGTGGTGCAGGCGACGGTCAGCCGACCGGTCACCGGAAACGGGACGGCCGGAGAGATCCGCGAACCCGTGCTGCGGCCCAAGAGCCGTTTCCGGATGTACCGAATGCCGGACGGAACCTCCGCCGCCGTCAGTGGCGTCGTTAACGGAACTACGTCGTCGTTACCGACGCAGCAGAACGCCGGTAACGCATCGTCCGCGACCACGTCCGAGCGGTCATTCATCGTTCACCTGTTACCGCAAAAACTGATGAACATGATAGAACAGGCCGAGAGGTACGCTCGGATGGCGTTCTCGCCGTTCATGTGGCCGACAAAGGAACGTGCGCAACGCGCTCTCAAAAACTTCCCAAGGTCAGTATGCCGAATATAAATAATAAATTAACGATATTGATAATAAATATAACTAATCGTAGTAGGTATATATTGTAATACAATTTATACGTTTTAACTTTTTTAGCATTTATAGTCGAAATAAAAATAAGAGTACTGTGCCACGACAATTATTTTTAGAATTCATTCAATAAACGTAGGCTATCAGTTATGGTTTGGTTTAGTCTGTTAACTGGTTTTAAACGAATACATTTTTAACGCTTTTGAAAAAAACTACTGATAAGAACAGTTAAGCTACCCGCCTATTCAATTGTTTAATCGATTATTCTATAGTTTTTATTGGAATCTACTGTTCGTTTACGTGAAAAAACATTTGGATAGTTAAACGGACGATAGTTTATTTAGACTATCTCTAGATAAAATCATTACTGTTGAGAAATTATATAGAAATGACTAATGTAATATTTTCGTTTCTAAAAAGGTAGTTATTACGACTTAATATTTTTTTATCCCCAAACCGTACATTTATTTTGATGTAAAATTCGTTGTATTATTTATTTATTATTTTAACAAATATTAAATATTATAATGCAGTCCTGATGGTGTATAGTTTTTAAAATATAGTGACATGCTTGCCTGGCTAAAAATAATAAATTTTGTTTTATTTTAAAGAAGTTACGTCATAAAAATAAAAGTTAATCCACTCGTATTTCCAGACTAATCTAAAACTTATTAAAAAAAATGTTAAAAATGTGTTGTTCATAAATCATATTTATTCGACAATGACTGGGTCATAAATTTTAATGTATAAAAATTTGATTATTCTACAAGCTACGTAATATAGTTCTGATCATCCACTGAACGTTATGCGTCGCCAAAATAATAATCCCGAAATATAACAACTATGACATAATATAATATAACATTATGGGTAAACAGTAAAAATGTCAGTGGAAAAGAGTCCATGGAAAGAATCAAGTAAAAAAAACACTGAAAAAAGTACAAGAAAAAAATAATTTAAAATTTTATTTTTTATTATTATTTATTACATATTATACAATCGTTTGTTTTTTAGTAGTTATCATTGTTATTAACATTGTATAGTGGTTACAAATATGTCACTTTTATAACATATTATAAAAAATAATATAAAAATGTTCTGGACTTCGTGGAAAATTTCAAATTTTAATCACAAAACCAATCATTTTCATCAGTGAAATAACGCATAAGCCGTCGTCAAAACCAAGAATCATCTTAATATCAGAATCCGGCATCTTGGCACTAGTGCACTACTATAGTTAAATTTTAGGGGGTGATAAAATTATATGTATACTCATCACCCACACTAGCCACGCTCCACACCACCTAAACATAAATTTCAAAATCATTTTGTTATAAATCAATAATAAATATAATATAGTTATAAATAATAAGTCCAGTCACGAATCTTTCAACGTTCCACACTCTTGACAATTTTTATCCTGAAATTTTTTTCTACAATCAATATACGATGTTATATTATTTCGTGATGCGTACAGCAGTCATAATAATACTCACAACGACTGGCTTTAATATCGTTTTTGGACACTTGTTTACAGGTTTTTGTTCAACGACAACAAGACGTCCGAACAAGTCGTCAACGTTCAACTGGACGAGAGTCCCAAGAGGTACATACCTCTGACTTTCGGAAACGACCATCCGGACGAACAAGCACAACAGTCCAGCGGACGGGCGACGCTGATCGAGGCGAGAATCGTGCCGGCGATGACCGACGACAGCCCGATCGTCGAAGAAGACTTAGACTTATCCAAAGAAGACATTAGATAAAATCCCTCTACAATTTAGTCCATAGTCTTATAGTATTATTATTATTATTCGGGTAATGTGTGTGTGTGTGTGTGGGGTTGTCTTACGACGACATGTACTCCAAAACGTATAATATTGAGTCAAGCACACAAACGTATAAATAATATTGTGAGTGTGTGTGAGATAGGAGAGTGTATTTATTTATCGTAATATGTGTAAATATTGGCTTAGAGATTCCGACTTTGTCTAAAGTTCAATTATATAATTGTGGAATGAAACAAAAATACGTTACGAATCGTATAATTTTAGTTCCTAAAAGTTGTTGAGAATTCAAAATTCAAAAAAAAAAATTAAATCGTTGAGTACCGTTTATATATTTTTTTTACTATACTGTAAATACTATATGATATGTGAATCAACATTTAAGCAGAACCTACTCACTCGTTCGATGACTATAATATTACAATGTAAAGGTTTCGATATTGTTTGTGTATAATATTATGAACCTTGAGGGAAACGTCTCAGTATTGTTATTAAAAGTATCCAACACCCGGAAGGTGATATAGTGGACGATGATTGTCCATCGTTACTGCAATCGATAACCGTCTTGAAATATTTATTTATATTATTAAGTAATTAATTTAAGTAATTTAAATTATAATAATTGTGGCAAAATAATTTGCGAACGGCGAAATGTCCAAATTATTTAAACGTTTAATGTATATTTAATATATATTTTTCATGTGTTTATAATATAATATGATACAATATACACAATAATACATATAGAACCAGTTTGATGTTTTTCTATTGTTATGTTTTTTATTGGTCAAACCCGATACTCACTAGATTGCTATTGTTAATGTCTTAATGACGAGAGAAATCTCATATTTTACTGTTCAACAAAATAAACTTTAATTATTACGGGTATGGTTCAATACATTTTGCTCGGATCTGATTGATTTATGAGTGGTGGTTGGTGGGAATGCGTTTATTAATCATACAATATCTACTAAATTTGAAACAGATACAATATTATAGGCTATAGGTGAGTTGCGGCCAGACACATGTCATTTACGTGTTGAAGACCTGTGAATTGCGGCCCGATTATATTTTATCACTAAGTTAATTGCGGCCCTGGAAATTTATTTATTTTCAATTTTGTGCAGGCAGTATCGGCAGTATTTTATCTAAAGTAGATACCATAACGTCAATAGTTCAAACGAAAAATATTACAGTGTTAGTCTGTTCACCACTTAGTATCTATATCTACGAAAACTAAAAATTCTGTTTGAGTGTGTTATACAGTTTATTATAAGTGCGCTATGGAGCTTGTAAATAGTGAAAAATCAAAACCAATTATTCTCTACGAAGGCAACAAATTTCGTTTCCACAAAACACTAAAAAACGATGTACAGCGGTGGCCTTGCAGTGTCAAAAATTGTAAGTGCTTTTTAAAATTATCTCGTTTAAATAAAATAGTTGACAGTAATACTAAACATAACCACAATAAAAACGACGAAAAAGTGCTGAATAGGCAAAAATTAAGTAATTCTCTGAAAAGAAAAGCCATAGAAGACATTTCTTGCAAACCTTCAAAATTAATTCGTTCAGAATTGAAGAAAGGCGATACATCGACTTTGACAACGAACGATTTATCATTAATTCGACACAATGTTCATCGTGCCCGTTCATTTGTACACCCCCCCCCCCTGCCAAAATGCATTAAAGAATTACATGCTGCTTTAGAGTCTATGAATATCAAAAGTAATATAGGTGAGCCATTTTTGTTTATCAACGACAAAGAAAAATGTATAATTGGTTTTTCTACTACACAACACACAAAAGTGCTATGCGATGTAAATAAATTTTAAGTAGATGGAACTTTCAAAAACTGACCTAAACACTTTTATCAACTTTTTACCATCCATGGCCTAAAAAATGATGTATATTTACCACTAGTGTTTTTTTTACTACCCAACAAGTGTAATACCACGTACAAGTTTGCATTCCAACATTTAATTCGCCATTCCATTCCTAACTGAAGTTGTTACAGATTTTAAACAAGCTATCCACAAGGATTTAAGATCGAACTTCAAAACTACTACAGATAGTTCACCCCGTCATTGAGTAACACTTTTGGCAAAAAAACATTTCAAATATTTTAACTATAGTGTTTGAACGGGTTGAAAACATTTTTTCAAACGACATTTCTGTTTCTTAGATTAATAGGTAGAAATAGTTTAATTTTTCTTTTGTGAATGGGCGCAAGTGCGCAACTATATATTTAAATAGCGGTCTTAACGTTGATACAAAAAAAACTAGGAAAATGTTACAATTTATTTACATAGGTGTGGGCGACATACCTGTTGAAGGCTTTTTTAATAATATCTCCCAGTATTCATTGATTCTATTTCGCATTACACTCGTTTACCGCCGCCGATAGAGCACCACGGTACCTGCTCGTCCTATCGTCACGGCACTCGCGAAAAATATTGAAACCTGTTGGATTCATTACCGCCGTCGCCGTACTCAGGCTGTCACTGAATTCACGCCACCACCGTGGTGCATACCTACCAAAGACCTGCAAGGGCCGGGCCGGCCTGTAGTGACATTTTGCCGGGCCGGGCCTTTGAAATAAAATAAAGGGTTGGACCGTGCTGGACTTTGAATAATAAATCAAGGGTTGGACCGGGCTTTTTAAGGATTTTTCTTCGACAATGAATAATCACAATTTAAAATAATAAATAATAATGATAAAAACCGGAGTTGGTATAGAAAGATATATTCATATGGAGTATACTCTATGGATACTACCAACACTAAAATTTAAGTGTCCAAAATAAACAACACTTTCAGCATAGTCATGTCAACAGATGGTAGAAGAGGCAAAGGACCTTAATGGTCCATATTATTCCTATTAAATATTAATATACCAGATGAACCTACACTTATAGTACCATATTATTATAATTACAACTGCAAATACTATAGTTGCCAGTTAGTTTCTATTTATGGAATCTTTATCCACTCAATTTACAATTCTGGATATTCTATACCAACATACATTTGAATAGGTAATAATATTAATATATTACATTATAATAAATATAAATATTATTATCTCTTAACAAATAATAAACTAGTAATAGGTACAATTTTTTTTTTTAATTTTACAATTGAAATTTAATTAATTTACAATTTAAAATTAAATTGTAGTATAATTAAAATAATCCTCCATAAGTCGCTTCAATAGTTATAACATATTTGGTAGCACATGATCATTTTGAACAGGTGGTTTCTTTTTGATGAATAAATAGTTGTTTAATGTACATTTGGCACCTCAAAAAAAAAAAAACCATTCAAGCAATAACTACCAACGAAAACTAATATTTGTACGAAGTCTTAAAAAAAAAATTACCTCATTTTTTATCCATAATCTTATTAGACTTGATTATGTTTGTTAAACAGTCCACGAATCCATTGAATGTGGTACTTAACTTCTGTAAAAATTGCGATCGAATTATTTGTATTTGGATCCTTGATACTTACTACTCCAGTTAAATAATAAGAATCAGAGTGGAAAAAGCATAAGCCAGCACCGCTATCTCCTTTACTCACTCCTTGTTTTGAAGCTAAAATATTTTATTCATAATAATAAAATTAATCATACGATTGTAACAGATAAGGAGTGTTATTGGGTTATACTAGGTAGGTATTATTATTATACAATATAGATATTAGATTTACCTAATTATTTTTTTACGGAATAATACAGACACCTAATAAAACGGTTCTTTCTTGTCCAGTCAGTGCGGTTATATAAAGTAACTTTGGGCAATCATAATTCATAACCAATTCTCAGAACGTAGTATTAGACATAAATACCTATGCATATACCTATACCTAATGCATCAGAACTACACTTCATTACTATTTTTAAGTACCTAATAACCCAAACCCAACATATCTAAATCATTTCAAAGCATCATTCGCTTAAGTCATCAGTACCAAAAACTGACGACGTTCTAGAAGTCAATCATTGTCACTAAAGTACTGCAGATAATTTACAAACTTTTTACATCAGCCCATTATTAATACAATTTCAAGTTTTATTGTTAGTGTCGTCATGAATAATAGTATTATATATAGTAATATGTAAATATATAATGTATATTTTTTATTCTTGGATATCACAGCTGAAAGTAAAAAGATCATAATAGTTTTCGAAAGCGCAGGGAAAAACAAAATACAAATATTAAGGAGCACCGTGAATTTTTACTCAAAATCGATTAGCGACAAAATCAATTTTGGTTTTTGGTGTAACTCTAAAAAAAAAACCTTAAATATGTTTTTTTCACTGGATGTTTATATTAATTAGTTAAGCGTAAAATAAAAATCAATGATTTCAATAGTATTAATGTTTAAATATTTTATTACCCAATGCATAACCGGCACAAAACTTATCAACAGTCACAAATGGTTCAAATCCGTTAGTGTACATGTTCCGGCAAGAACTATGGTTGATGTATGGTAAATATGCTTCTAACAAAATAGGACTTGGAACGCCTTTTTCAGTTTTTCCCCAACCAACAATCTAGTAAAATATAAAACAATTGTATACTCAATGTGAAATCATAAAATTAATATATAATATTAATCATGTTCTATGTTATCCAAGAAGTTTTTAATTTTGGAATTAACTTAAAATATATGAAATAAGAATAATATAATTTACAATTTATATACATTTTAGATTATTTTTTAAATTATTTTCTTGTAGTAAATTGTTATTCAATTATTATTAATTATTATACTTTAAATAGTGTGAGGAATATTGGAAAGGTCAGATGCTCATACGATCCTGATTATTTATGTACAACATATTAAATAATAATAAACTATGGTGATTAAAATAATTTATTATATTTTGTAACTTAAAAGATCCTATTTAATTACAAATTTCTGGTTGGGTTTTGGTACTTTTTTTAATTAAAAAGAAATGTTAATTCTGATTCTTAATTAGTTAAGGTTCCAATTTCAGAACTGGTTCAATTCAGTTCATTTCCAGTCAACGATTTAAAAGTACACTAACAATATTAGTATCTTTGTTGTAATTCAAAAGTATTATTATAAAATAGGCTGACCTATTGACAAACTTCACATAGAATAGTTTCCAACCTTTCCTTGATCTCCATTGACTACATTGTAGTTACCATTCCAATCGATACAAACAGGTGAAACACCATTACTAAAAGAAACTCTGTCTTGTAACACAATAATAGCTATATCTTCAGCATGAAACCCAGAAGGTCCATAATAATCTTCTTTCAGGTGAATCATTTCCACCTGTATAATTGTTTTAATTTATACCATGTCATACAAATTATTTTTAGACTGTCGAATTATTAATAACTTACTTACATTTATGATTTCAGTAAATTCATTGTCAATAACAGTAAAATTTCTATCATATTTTCCAATAGCAATTTTGTATAGACCATCCGTTATTGATATTATCTTAGATAACATACCTTTTTGCCAAAAACAATGAGCCGCTGAAAATTATATATATTTCATTTTTATTTTTTTAAATAGTGTAGCAGAAGGCAGAACGGGGATATGGGGCCATGGGGCAAAACGGGGACATTTTAATATGTATGTCTTATACTGGCCATACCCATTTAAAGCTTAATATATAGATTCCTTGGGTTAACAATATTATGTAATAAAAATGTCATGCTCACATATCAATTATCTTATGAGTAATACATTAAAATCATTACACATGCCTCTAATCATTTGTTTGATATAATAAAATGTTAATTTATTTTGAAATATTTTTATGGTTTACTTATTGTATCTTAAATTTGTTTTCGCTATTTCTATAGCAAATGGTCTTAAGATTATATTAATAATATTAATTATTAAATTAATTAATTGTTGTGTTTACTAACAAAGGCTGAAGTTAAGTGAAATCATTGGGGCATAATGGGTTACTAATACAACGTTAATTTTTTTATTTAATTTTTATTTTTACCTGATTGGGTAGGTACTACATCTATAATAAGTATTTAATTAAAATGTAATTATTTAATAAATGGAAAGTTTAAATTTACAAGCACTTATTATTCTTTGTTATTGTATACTACAATTATTGTATTAAAATATGTATATTCCTATAAATATAATATAATATATATTACATTATGTTTATGCAAGTTATACAAGTTATTTAAATAACAACAAGTTTAAGTTGATTAATGTAATTTTATTTATGTAAAATTAAATAATATTTATAAAAATAAAATGAATAAAACTTGAGGGACATCCCTATTTTGCCCCGTGTATAAGGTCAAAACGGGAAAAATTATACTTAAACCTATTTTGACCTTTAACACTATGAGACTTAACTGAATGTTTAAAACATGCTAAGATAACCATATCCTAAAGATTATACAGTTCAAGTTTCAAATCAAAAACACAATTTTCGAGTGAATTATAGCCCCGTTCTGCCCCACCTTCCCTACATTGTACAAAGATTTTACCAGAAATTACTAAATTTGGAGCAATAATTGATCCTCCGCATATCATGTTGTAATTGGATTTTTTATTATTTAATTTATATATTCCAACATTCCAAGGTGCGGTTCCAACAAGTGCTTTTTCACCATTGTTGATCAACACTTGGTTTTTGATATATACTCTACCGCAATCTAAATAATATTTAAATATAAATATAAATAATAATAAGTAATACGTAATATTACCTACCTATAGAATGTATATAATAATGACAGTTTAAAAATTTACATCAAATGGTTGTGCATTAACAACGGTTATTTGATCCCAAGAATTTTAACAAACATTCGTATTTAGATACAGTTCAAGTTATGTAACTTACTAGTTATATATATAAATAAGATACTTATGTTTATATGGTAGAAATAAAATTACTTGGAATGCACCTATATAGTTGTTTATTCCACATCCCATTAGCCAGACAATTTAATTCAAGCTGAGTATCTTCTTGTGTAATTGGTGCAGTATAGAATGACTTACATGATGTTGTTGCTATTGTATCAGGTATCGATAAATTTGAACAATTAGTATACTTGCCATTATGACTACATTTAATATCTAAACTATCTGATATTAGAGGTGGACACATTTCTATAAAAGTAGATAATTTACAATCAAACATATCCATGCTTTATACTTGTATTATATTAAAAAATAAGGAATTAATACGACATTCGAATGACTGTTCAAAACTTACTGAAACACAATTTCTTAATACTCGATAACCATTTTCCTTTTCCCTGACAAAATCTAAAACCATTGGGATAGGCCTTATGATATCCAACTTCACAATTCTCAATAACAGTAAGATTATGATTAATTAATGACCCGTGAGATAAAATTTCATTAGAACCTTCATACGAATATAGAACTCCTTCGACAGTTGGTAAAACGCATGAATTCTCTGTGAACTGTCAAGCCATAATATTATTGAATTATTATTATTATTATTATTAATTATTATTCAATTATTTAATTAGCAATCATTGCTAAAAATATTTATTCTTTCTTTCAAAAACCAACCTATACATTTTAAATAAATAAAATAAATATAAATATAAGTATACATTTTTTTTAATTATATGTATATTATATAATTATATTAAATACCTATAAATATATAAAATTTAAATTGATACCTAGGTTGGAAACAGTAAACAAATATATTTACGAACGTGTTTGTTTAAAATTCCACGAATCCATTGAACATAGAATCTAATGTCTGTATAACCTGCGATCATTGTACTGTTTTTTAATGGAATCATTACAACAGGTATTCCGGTTAAAAAATAAGAATTGGAATGTAAAAAGCTTATGCCTGTTCCAACATCATTGTAACCGACTCCTTCTCCTGAAAAAAAGATATTATTATTTTTTACATATGACACAATTGTATGAAACATATTTATATTATTAGATAGTGGGTGCTGGGTGTAAGTCCATTAAATTTTCCTGGGTGGTGAGCTGAGGATAACATTTTTTATTTATTTATAAATGAACGCTATTCGCCTTTTTAAGCATCTGTGTTTAACAAATAACAGCACAAATAATGATATTCTTTGCGAAGTTAGAAAGATTTACTATCAAATTTGCATTACCCGATTTATAAATTGTACAAAACTGATCAAAAGTCACATATTTTTGAATAATGGTTGAAATCATTTTTCGACAAGTACTATGATTGACGAATGGAGGAAATTTTTCTAATAAAACGGAATTCTGTGTCCCATTTATCTCTTCTTCAAAAATGAAAATCTGTAAGAATATGAAACAGTCAATATTAAAATTAGGTGCAGAATCATTATAGTCATATACATTTAAAGATTTTAAGAAGGATGCAAATATCCAAAGAAGTGACTAAATTATACATCATATTTTATAATTGATGTCTACAAAAAATATTGCAAACTATTAAAATGCAAATGTCATGTTCCAATTACAGGCTCCAATTTATTGTGCCAACTCGATTAAAAAAAAAACTTAATATGATTCAATGTTTTTGTAAATACTAATTTCAATTTAAAATAAAAAGCATTTTAATTCTTAAGTTTTAAGACATGTTACATTTAACAGTATGAATACACAGGCCTTCATAGGAGAGAAGAGCGCTCTGGTGACTATAGAACTGTGCTAATATTTCCAATCAAGAGTGTATACGTATAGGGGTCCAGAGTGACGACACCTTATGAATACACCTTGGCGGTACCAATGTAATTTCTAAGAATACTTAGGTATACTTACAGAATCATACAATATATTAAGGATGTGCAAAGGGTATATGTAGCCAATTTTGTTCATATTGCAACGGAAAAATTGTTAATTATGCAGAGGTTTTTTAAATTTGTACATTCCTCATAATGAAGTTGAGATGTAAATTCTTAAAGGGGCTTAATAATTCACACAACTCCTTCATTTAGACCGAAATTTAATGTATAAATTGTAAGTTTTAAGCTAAATTTGCAACTTATAAACAGTTCGTTTTCACCAAAATGTATTCGTTTGTGTGAATAACCTAACTATAACCTCACACCACTTTGTATAAATTAAGGGGACGCCAAACCCAAAATAATTTACATTTATTATACACGCATAACTCACTTAAAAACTGAATTATGGTAAAAAATCTTCCATCGAATCACAGACTAGATGTTCTTACCATCAAGTTTGATAATAGGTCGATTCACTCAAATTTTTAAGGTAACGGCATAAAACGTGAACTGCTGAGCGTAAATTTGGTATGTTACGCGTTTGTAAGACGGAAACAACACATGCAGGTGTGATGTCCTCTTAAACCAGACAACCAATCTCAAAATCTGTTTTATGTAATCAATAAAACTATACATACTTGGTATATAGCAGAACAAATTTACCTTTCCTCGATCTCCATTGTGTACGTCATATTTACTATTCCAATCGATGCAAACAGGTACAACATCATTGCTAAACGAAACTTTGTTTGCTAATACAATAACAGCTATATTCTCAGCATTAAACTCTTTTAGTCCATTATAACTTTCCTTCACGTAAATTGTGTCCACCTATTTATAATTGTTTTAATTTATATTTTACATGTTATACTAACTGTTTGAAGCCTTTCAATTATGGAAAACTTACATTCAATATTTGAGTAAATTCGTTGTCAATTTTTTCAAAATATTTATCATATTTTCCAACAGCAACTTTGAGTGTACCATATGTTACTGATATTTTCGTAGATAACATATTTGGATGCCAAAAACTAACAGCCCCTAAAATGTTATTTAATTAATTTTCATTCTTTCTCAAATACATTGTACGAAGATTTTACCAGCAATGATTACATTTGGAGCAATAATTGATCCGTGACTTAAAAATTGATAATCTAAATCTTGTAATCGATATATTCCAACATTCCAACGGCCCTTCCCAACAATTTCTTTTTCACCATTGTCGAACAATGAATTTTTATAGAAATAAACTCCACCGCAATCTTAAACAACATTAGCTATATTGGATGTAATATTTGTAGGTCCATAATTAGATTAATATGAGTAACTCTGGCATCTATTAATTGTTACACAAATAAATTATATTAAATGTCATAGGTATAGCAATTATTTTTACCAGTGATAATATTTGTTATATATTCGTTTATAGCACACAGCTCTTTGGTCTCGTCTGAACCATCTGAACAATCTTTACGACCATCACAAACCCACGACCGTTCGATACACAGTCCATTTGAACAATAAAACATATCTTCAGTGTTTCTATAGTTTTATTGAAATGTATAAGAATAAAGGTCTAACATTATTTAGTATTAACTATTTAGTTATGAGTAAATATGAAAGCTAGTAACATTTTAAAAATTCCAATAGCAATACTGAATACATATATAAGACACAACAATAGTTAGTGGTGCCCGTAGACAAATAAACTGATGGACAGCGCATTCCACTCCGACCTGCCATTAATGCTAGGGAACCATGGAAACCATATAACTGAGAAAAAAAGCAGAGAGAAATTATTAAATTAAGGAGGAAATACTTCACTTTTTTTTCCATTTACTTTATCAACATATATGTAATATATATATAGGTAACATAGAATAATATTATTCTATGTAGGTAATAAGGTTGTTATCATAGAATCACAAGTTTGTTAATCATTAATCAGTGTTAATGTTACCTATTAAATATAACAATTGACATATATTATTGTAACACAATTTTTTATTCGGCAGTAACCACACTATAATTTACTAGTTTATTTTTTTTCTCGCTCACTCTATATTTTACCCCTGACTTCTCTCACTAAACGCTGTCCATTAGTTTATAGGTCTAGGGGCACACGATCTATTGTTGTTCGTTACCAGCCCTAAACAATTTTTATTTATTCTACAGTTACCAACACTGAGCAAAATGATACAGCTTGTCGTCTTTCGAGTTTTCTGTCACACACAATTCCAGATCCTGAAATAGTTAATACTTAAACAATCATACAACTATACAATTAATATATTATTATATTTTTTCAAAATTGTAAATATAGATAATAGCAATACACTAATACCTTTTTTTTAGGTATCAATTGTGCACCATATGGCTACACTCCAGTATCTATACAATATAAAATTTTCAAAATATTTTGATTTGTTTTGACTGTTTTGAACTGTTTACGTACATTTTTTTCTATGAATATGTCAATAAAAATTTAATTGTTATAAAGACGTTTACGCGCAACGCTACTTAACTGCCACGCGCAGCGCTTATAACAAATCGTATTTTTTCTAAGTATTTTATCAAGTTGTGGGACATATAGTCATATTATTTTACCATTTTTATGAAAAAATTTTGTTCAAATCGGAATTTGCGGTTATATGGCAAATAGTATACGTATTGCGTGCGCGTCCCTCATTACATAACACAACATTCAACCCACAGACTAAGATATATCTTAGTCCATGAGTCAACCTAAATTCTATCTCATATCAATGGTCTACTATCTGCAAGGTACCAGTTTACCACAACATAAATAATAGAATACAATGTTTCTGAAGCCAGCCAGAGTAGAGACATAGTTGAGGTCACCCGTTTAGTAAGCTTAGAAATAGTATAAAGGTATAACCATTAACTTGTGGTCTACCTGAAGATAATTGCTTTTTGACAAAATTGTTTAACTCTGAGGCCTGCCCAAAGTGGTTTTACATAACAAATCGAGCGATATTTTTGATTTTTTTTTTGGCTGAGTGGAACGCAGAGAGCGAGTGACACACGAACATCACTTTTCACAACAGTTCAGCCGATGAAAAGTGAGTGTTTTAATAGTTGTTGATAAATATTGAAGATCCATTGGTAATATTTTTTTTATGATATTTTATAAAACATTAAAATATTATCTTCGAAATTATACATATATTGTTACAATCCCAAAACTATTTTACATAGAATTCGCATGTCGCACACACACACATACACATTATATATATATATATATATATATATTATTTTAAATTAAAAAATTAAATCTTTGAAAAAATAAAAACAGGATTTGTATAGCAAGTTTTAAACGAATCACTAATTAGTTCGAAAATTATTGGTTTCAAAATTAAAAGACAGATAATTGTTTTCTAAAAATGACTAGTACATACATAATACTATATTGTAATATTCTATTCAAAACTCTCTACTTTAGATAGATATATTAATTACATTTTTTGGGTGTATTTAATATTTAAATATAATGAATACTAATATACTAATAAAATGTTATAAAAACATGATTTCCTATTTATTACAATATTATTAACACTGGTATTACGTACCGAAAACTAAACATGAATATATAATCCAGGAATACGTCAGCTTCATTGCCACTGGTGAGCCTAGACTAAAAGAAATATATAAACAAATATAAATTATTAAAAATATAAACAAGAATTAATGTTTAATCATAAGGCCACTATAATCACTAAACAATATTTTACCATACATTTTCTTACATGCAGGTACATGAAAACATACTATACCTAATAATATAATGTATATTAAACACTGACAATATCTTTTCGGATTAATTAGCTTTTAACTTCATATGATAACACTACGTAAGATACGATAATAGCAATACAACTTTACAACACTTGACTTCTAGACACATAATATGGGGTCTTCTAAAAATCTACAATACTCTCCCACAATGCTAGTATACGTACTACGCAGTCGGTTCGATATTATGTAGGTACCTACTACTAGCCATATGTGATCACTTTATCGACCGAAGGACAAACTACGTAGATAGGTGGGAATAAATAAATTATGGAGTCGCTAACTTGTTTTAAAATTGATTACATATGGAGTGGCGTACTTATTATAGACCTTATATGCCAGTCGGGGGTTGGGAAGTGCAGTCCTTGGTGATTTAAATCGATAACATGTAATGATAATCTATATATATAAAAATGAATGTATGTCAGTGTGTGTGTCTGTGTGTCCATGTTACCATGGTTACCAAGGTTGCCATGGTTACTAAGGTTACCAAGATTTCATATCAATCTATCTATCTATATATATAAAAATGAATGTATGTCAGTGTGTGTGTCTGTGTGTCCATGGTTACTAAGGTTACCAAGATTTCATATCAATCTATATATATAAAAATGAATGTATGTCAGTGTGTGTGTGTGTGTGTGTGTGTGTCCATATTACCATGGCAACCATATCTGTATATAAAAAACAGTAAGCTGATTGACTGCTATCAACGCACAGCTCAAACCATTGGACGGATCTGGCTGAAATTTGGCATACAGATAGCTATTATAATATAGACGTGCGCTAAGAAAGGATTTGCCAAAATTCGCATTTTAAATAGGTGCTGAAACAGGGACATTGAGATTCACGATAGAAATTGGAAATTTTATTTTTATTTATTTATAGTTGCCATTGGTTACAGTCTACATTAGAAATTAGCATTTATTTATTGGTTGCCATTGGTTATTCGGGCAGATCAGGTACAAGCTTGCATCAAATCGAATTATTGAACAATGCTTACCAGGGTGGCAGAGTTGCACTTACCGCAGAAAATTACACCCAAAAGGAGTTCAACAATCATAATTTTTTTAAGAGTTGCGATTTTTTACGAGCAACCAAATTTATTATATTAATCCACAGTATTACATCAAAATAAACTTGGTATAACTTTGATACTTTAGAGTTAAATCATACACTTCCGTACAAACAGCACGGGGTCCGTGATCTACCGCAGGTAGATTGCCTACCTGATAATGTACTGCTGCGATTCAGAATTTTTATTCAGGGCAACGGGAAAGATAAGATAAATTTTGAACACCATACACGTTAATGAATTGAACAAAGTTTGAGTAGGTAGTATTGAGTTGATCCATTTAACGGGCGACGAAGTGCACGGGATCAGCTAGTATTATTATATAATTACAATAAAGTTATACTAATATTATTCGTGATCATAAATTCAAGACCGGATTAAGAACCTATTTTGCCCCGGATTTGAAATTTCATATGGGCCCTTTTGACAAAACAAGCTTACAAAGCCACTCACTAAGCTCGCAGGAACATACATTTTTCTACAAATTGACAGTTGCAATTTATAAAATTAATAGGTAAATGTAACTTATGTCTATAAATCTACTCATTTTATTGTAGTATAGTAAAAGTTAATACTTCATATTTCATTAATATAAATTCAAATTTTCATAATAACTTTTAAATTTATTAACAGTATAGTCATTTACAAACAATAATGAACAAAAGTTAATAATATAAAAAACAAAAACTATTTTATCAAATAATTTTTTTTCTTGCTTTACTTGAAGCCAACACTCTTAGTACTTCATTTAGGTCTAATAATTTTAACAAACCATTTGTATGTCTAAGTTTTCTTTAGTTTGACTGGTTATATACTTATTTTTTACTCTAGTTAATTTATAATAAGCTCTCTCTTTACATAAATATCATTGTTGACTCGTTATAATTCTATTCGTTATATTATTAAACTCTCGATAATATTATACCATTCAATTCAGATTTATTATTATAAAATAATACTTATTTTTGGTTTAAAACTCATCATTCATTCAATCTTTATTATAAATCTTTTATTTTTATTTTCTATTCATTGAATAAAATATATTTTATTTCCAATGATAATTGCAAATTAAATGCAACTTAAAATGTAACAGAGCAAACTCGAAACAATTTACACAAGTGACCAGTCGTGCTGGTTGAATGGTTCGTAGTCATGCTGAACCGTGGTCTCTGGTTGGTTGTTTCTGGGGACCTCTGGATTAGTGCAGGTGTTAAGGTACTGATGTTCCGTCGGATCAATTTAATGATCGAATTCGTCATACTGGTATATGTTGCAGTTGGAGGATTGGAGCTGGTCGAGAGTCTTCGGGTCTTCAGATATTCTAGTGTGTTTGCAGGTTGAATAAAGACTGAATTGAAGATAGGTCGTTTGTCTTGCCTTTATGAATTTGGTTTTCATAAAACTAATGTGTCTTATAAATGTATGAATCATAAATTAAATTATATCCAGCAAGATGCGATAGTGGCATGGAGCTAAGTAAAAAACAAAAGCGGAATATTCAATACCGTAGTACACTGTACATTACACTAGCCAGAGTTTGCCCATTTAATGTGTGTACATTTTCCCATTTCCTTTAGCCAGGGGGCAGGGCTACAGTCCTAATGAATGGACGGATTGGTCCGTTTGTGGTATCAATAGATCGGGCATGATGTGCAGATTATACCTTTGTCATTTTTGATATTCTTGAGATTTTTTAACATGTAGCCGTAGCAAGTTTAGTTCTTTATATAGTTAAAAATACCATTTCCCGTTTCATACGACCTAATGCAACTGCTTATTACTATACTTATTACTTATTACAACCGTTCAGCTTATTACTATACGTTTCCACAATTTCGTTATAATGAAAGTTTTGAGAGAATACCTTAGAATTGAAAGAATACGTCATGAGTCTAATAATTTAACACCTGGGAAAAAAATATATGCTTCACTTCAATTCATACTTCATCAAACTATTAATAGTTACTTAAATAGATAAATGATAAAGAATATTTTTTTAAATAACTATTAAGAACGGGAGTTGATGAGTTCTGTCTTATTATACTATTATTATTAGTCATGATTAAGTTGGCACTAATTTTACTAGGGTAGTGGACCACCACAGTCACAGGACTTGCTAAGCAGTATACAATTATTCCTATGTCTTATAGCTTGCGTTCTGACCATTTGAAGGACGAGCGTATCTCTCATACGTCATGTTTCACTTTATATTTAATGATATCTAGTTATGTTTTGCAGGGTTTTTATTTGTGCCAATACAATACATTTTCGTTAGTTTAGCTGTTCAGTATAGTTATTCGCAATTTCTTGTCCATAATATGAATATATAGTTAACAAAAGGAACTTATACGATAAACCCCATGACCTCCCCCTCCCCCCGTGAGCACGCCTATGAACCATACTAAAATCCAATGAATAAAAAAAAAAATTAACCCTTTTCTTTACCCTAATCTATTTTCTTCCCAGAGGCCTAATCTACACACAAACGTTCATTTACTCGTATTTATACATATAGCTGTTTTTTCAATTAAATTATATAATATTCAAATTAAAAAAAATAATAATAAATAAATAACACCCATAACACCCATTCTCAACACCCATAACCCATAGTAAAAATTAATAAACAAAAATTTCTATCGTAAATCTCAAAATTCCTGTTTTAGCACCTACTGGGGGTCATCAATTCCCTTTTTAAATTAGCCTATAACCTTCTGTGTGATGTCCTCTTTAATTTTAAAAAAACTGCAAGATGATCCAATAAGTAGTTTCGGAGTTAACCCCGAACATACAAACAAACGCTATCATTTTATATATTAGTTTAGAAAAGGAAAAAAGGAAAAAAAAATACGTTCATCATCTTACATATTAAATGACACACATTTTTAAATAAAAATTATTTATCTATTGTTAAAAAAATTATAAAAATAGGTTTTTGCTTTCAAATCCGAACCTTCATTATGACATCCATAATCAAACACTATCATACATTATAATTTTGTACATATTAAATTTAAATGAACAATTGTATGAACTATTAAAAATTATTACACATAAGTGAAAACCTATTTTTTTAAATTATTTAAAATTTTTAATATTCATTTTAATTACAATTTTAATAAATAAATTGTATTAACATTACCATAATCTTATTAGACTTGGTTATGCTTGTTGAACAGTCCACGAATCCATTGAATGTGGTAATTAACTTCGGTAAAAACTGCGATCAAATTATTTGTATTTGGATCCTTGATACTTACTACTCCAGTTAAATAATAAGAATCAGAGTGGAAAAAGCATAAGCCAGCACCGCTATCTCCTTTACTCACTCCTTGTTTTGAAGCTAAAATATTTTATTCATAATAATAAAATTAATCATACGATTGTAACAGATAAGGAGTGTTATTGGGTTATACTGTAGTAGGTATTATTATTATATAATATAGATATTAGATTTACCTAATTATTTGTTTACGGAATAATACAGACACCTAATAAAACGGTTCTTTCGTGTCCAGTCAGTGCGGTTATATAAAGTAACTTTGGGCCATCATAATAATTCATAACCAATGCTCAGAACGTAGTATTAGACATAAATACCTATGCATATACCTATAACTAATGAATCAGAACTACACTTCATTACTATTGTTACCTACCTAACAACCCAACATATCAAAATCATTTCAAAGCATCATTTGCTGAAGTCATCAGTGCCAAAAACTGACGACGTTCGAGAAGTCAATCA